GAATCAATCTTTCAAAAAGATATGTTTGCTGGTTTGGATAAGGAAGTCTTGGAAGTGGTGATCTTAATAGTGGCGTTAAATAGGTTTGTTTAATACCAACTTGTCTTACCTGTGTAGGCATAGCCTAGCATTTAGTGCAGTACTGTATGTATGTAGAGAATACGGAATACTACTCTACTGCCTGGCGCGGCCTAGGCCCCCTAGTTTAAGCCTAGGCATACAAACTATAATAATAATATTTTAAACATTAGAGGCAAACAAACAACACTATTTTAAATAAAGTACATTAATTTACATGTTAATTATTAGATCCATGGAACTATCTAGGATCTACTACTATTACAGCATTACTAAAATGCCAGTTTATTCGTCGTGGAATGTGGATAATACCTTGAAAACTAGCTCAAATTTGCGCGGAAAATGGCTTGGAAAAATGTGCAGAGATACATTGGCAATGGTTATATACAGTATAGTTTAAAGACTAATTTTCGGCATTCTGCTCGGAAATACAACCACCTGCACTAGGCGTTTCCCTGCTGGTTCCATGCTGGATCAAAAACTAGTAGAGGGTCAAATGTCCAGCCATTTTGATGGTCAAAATACAGGGGCATTATTATTACTGATACATTAGAAAAGGTTGAGAATCAAGATAGTCTATTGTACATATATTGTTAGTCTTCATTTTTAAACTAATTTTTATTTTTATATTACAAAAAAGTATTATACAGTATTAATGAAGTAATAAATTCTATTCAAAATAATTAGGTCGCGGCTATATGTTACACCACTTTGCAATGCATTTGAATATGGGCTTTTCACAGTGATGGTTAATTAGATATAGATTTACTTATTTAGATTTTCAACAAAAAAAATTATTGATGATTAGTGCCAGATTGATTACTTCCTTATAAAGATATTGTACTGTAATATCAATACTAATTATTTTTGAATGGTGTAAGAATAGTCACTCTGATTTTTTTAAACTAGTCTGTTCAAACTTTTTATTGTACTTCTCTTCTTACAGGATATGCCGACATGATGGATATCGATGGCTTTCATGTGGTAGGATTTTAACAGGCTAAAGAAATCTGACAGAAGGGTCATCCCATCTTGCACTGTGTGGGTGATTAGGGACAAGTTCCCAGAAGCTGTGAAGACTGCCTGGATTTTTTGATGCTATAGAAGATGATGAAATAAACTTTGTGTTATAAGTAATTATTTATAAATTGTTATGGAAGATACCTGATATGTCCATCCTCATTAATGCAACAGATCTTATGTAATAGATTCATTCCTGACAATTCATGTGACAACTGTGCTCCATTTTTTTTGATAATTTCATCACTCATGAAAGGAAATTTTGTCCGCATAGGCCTAGAGCTTTTATATATCTGGACCAGTCAATTTTGTGTAACCTTCCAGACCTAGTCTGTAACTGAAATTGTTGCTATTGATTTGGATAGGCCAGCAAAGTTGATTTCAAGAACATTTTGTTGTTAAGTACAGTACAATGTTTTTTGTATCTTCCCCACTCTTGTCTCATATTTTTAAATTTTAAGCTAATACAGTATATAAATGTAACTTGTTCTTCCCTATTCTTTACATTGGTATAAACTATAGTAACTATAAATCCATATATTTAATATTTTGATAATAAATAGAGTGTATAAAATGCAGTGATATATATTGTGTAATACCTAACTGCTTCAATGTTGCTTTATTCTGTGTACAGTAAAACAATTTTATATTAATTGTGAGAAAATACACTTGTAATAAATTATTTGCCATGTACAAGGATGATAAATTGTGTTTCAAAATA